TTAGAAAGATAGTCGATGAACGAAAAACCTTCACAATCAAAAAAAAAAAGGTGGTGACGGAAGTGTTTGGACATCCTAACCCGGGACATCTTCCAGCGACTCCCTGCCATGCTTAAGCTCTCGGCTCCAACGTTTGATGGTGGTAAATGAAGGTCCAGACTCCCCATACATTGTAGACATCTATTCAACTGTTTTCTTCGGCGTTTTGTTTTCTTTGTGAGGATCCCAAAGGTACTTGGGCTCAAAACTTGACGGCCTCTCTTCGTATATGCATTTGTATTCGTGTTCGTTTTCGTCTTTATTTATGATTATTTGTCGCTTTGTGTTGCAGATATCTTAGTTTTCTTACGCATTCTATATGTCTCGCTGTTATGTGGCAGCGCTTATTCAGCGCTACTTTGGCCATTTATCGTGCGTTGCACTGCGTCTGTCTTAATATTGGTTTCATAAATATTTGTCGGCAGTGGTGTATCAAACGGTTTTGCAAAGAGGGTACGTCGATTTCCTTTACTTAGGGTCTATATACAAATGCTGTGCAGACATATGTAAGATGCAGCATTTTTGCTTAGTCACGGTTGTTTTTATCTTGAAAAATAAAAAATATACAACAATTAATACTTACAGACATATATCGTCACCTTAATTCACAAAGGCCCTAATCAACAATTTTTTTTATTTTACAGGAGAAGCAAAAAACATTCTAAAATGAGTATCAAAAACAGGGAGGGGTTTTTTAAAATGTGGCATATAACTCCGTTGTTCTTGGTTCTTAGACAAAATTTTTGTTGTAGGTGTACTTGAATACATCCTACCGAAATCTGCGAAAAACGCAGTTTTGAAAAAAAGTGTCGGTTAGGGCCTTTGTGAATTAAGGTAACATCGATATACATTCTTATCCCACTTAATAACTTTCACCATTTGCTACTAAATTATACTAACATTTTTAATTTTGCGAACATATTTGGGGATGGAACTAACCTAAATATGTACATTCTCCATTTAAAAACAAAAAAATCTTACATTCTGGTCAAACATACTTTTATATCCACTTATCGCCATTTCTTATCAATCTCGATTATAATATCCGTTAAAAATTCGATAATATGCGCAATATACTGCTGCTGCTCAATAAGATTTCTGTTAACAAAGGAGTTTAAAATACTAATTCAAACCTACTCCATGTTAGTAGAAAATATCTCCAGTGGTGTGCATATATTGTGGGAACTAAAGAAGCGGTGGCAACACAAAGAATGTTTAAAAGGAGCCTAGTTAAAATGGGAAATTGTGTGAACTTCACCCAAAAATTCATAGCTAATAAAGTGAATCACCCGTCAACACGAGTCCAAGAGATAATAATTGCGAAAACAGTGTTAACCGTGAATGTAGGCATTACAAACAAATTTTAGTTCAGCTTTTAATCCGTTATAAATCGAAGATTTTTATGCAAATCTTACTTTATAAAGCTATTTGAATCATTTGCTTTCTGATTCGTTAGCTATAATACCCGGCTTGTTTAAAAAGAAAAAAAAATTTGAAAGTTACCACCAGTTTGAAATTTTCAATTTAAGTAAATTGATAAGACAAAGTAAATATTGCAATATTGGTGTCGGTTTAAGAAAGCTTACATATATACATACTATATGTATATGTTTATTTATGTATAAAAAGATGTATATGGGGTAGTCTTTCTGAACATTACCCCCACTGCCCAATTTTTTCTTAACTTAAAACTTTTTTAAAAAATATGTAAAATCCATTAAAAGGCACAAGCTTTCCAATGCCTACTGGCATTCAAATTCAGAAAGAACGGAAAATTTTACGTTCAGATGACATATCATATGTGGGGTTTCAATAATTTGTTTAGATGACATATCATATCGATTGCTGAGTGGAAGATCGACCTATCTCGACAGCCAGTTCGAAAACGCCCTATCTCAAAAGACTTTTCAAGAACGCCCTATTTCAGAATTCGTTTTAAAAATGCCCTATCTCAGCTGCCGATTCAAACACGCCCTATATCAGCACATTTTCAATACATTTCTTCTTAAAAAAAAAATCGATAAATGATCGTAATTTTTTCATCGATATGTGTTTGATCAGAAATGAGAACTTTTATTTTTTCCAGTCTGAAATAACAGTTAAAATTTTACTTTAATTTTTTCTATCAAAAATAAAAATCTAACTACTTCATCTGGTTTTAAATGTTTCAACGAGTCCAATTTTAGCGGTTATTTTTGAATAAAATAATTAAAGTCAAACGTAAACTGTTATTTATGATCCGAAAAATAAAGTTCAACTTAACTTTGTTATTTAACGGAAAAATATAAGTCAAAAATTAACTTATTTTTGATCGAAAAAATTTAAATTAAATTTTAACTGCTATGTTTGATCGAAAAAAAAGAAAATTAAAATTTTAGCTCCTAATTTTTGATCAAAAACCTATCGATGGAAAAATAACGATTATTTATCAACTTTTTTGACAAAAAAACATAACAGTTACTTTCCTTGAAAAAAAGTTTCGCCAATTGAAAATATTTTTTCTCAAATTGTATATTTTTTGACATTATAGATCCTTACAAAAGAGCCTCTCTAAGTTATCAATCACACCTTATTTAATATACTTTGTTTGAATGTACATATGTCTGGGAACGGAGTAACTAGAAAAAAACTTTGTGGCTGGTGAGACATTTGACTATAGAAGCGATCAATTGCGAAGTATAACTTTGTCAACGGGACTTATACAGCACGCTGCACGCGATACGATATAAAAGCGATACGAGTCTCGCTGTCGCGGTCGCACAAATATAAGTGTGCTCAGTTTAGATCGCTTCCTATCAAATCGCACGTACTCAGCATGTCGATGTTGGTTTATATTTATTTTTTAATATTTTTCAACAGATTAATAAAATGTTGTCGGTTAGCTATATGTCACTACCGAAATAGGCATAATTAATATATTTTGAAATGTATGTCGTTTTCCTCTTTTACATGGAATTACCCATAAGGCTTTTAGCATTGATGTATTTGCAATTTTTAATATGAATTTAGTTTCTTATTATATTTCATTTACATATGTATGTAGTTTGCTTCCCCCTTGTATACATATATTATATTCTTCTATTTGTTATTTTTTTTTTACAAAATACTTAAGAAAAATTATAGACTCTTTTAAAATACATTTTGTTCTATTTCACTTCCTGTGCAATAGCTGCTCTCTCTAAATCTTTCTCTTTAGTATTTCCAAACTAATATACATTTCCTTTTACATTTTCTAGGATGGTGAAGGAATGATAATACGCCCTGGACGCGGTTCTGTTTTACCCAAAATGGGTCTGGAATCACCCACCGTAAGTTTTTCCAACCTCAACACACACACTTGCATAGACAGCAATTAGATATTACTAAAGCAAAAGTGGCATAGCTACATAGTTTACTATTTGCATATAGTATATTTTACAACCGAGGCGTGTTTCATAGCATTTCCCATTAAACATAAAAAATCACTAAATCAGCATTAAACAAAACTAATTGAATTGTTCGTACTGTTAAGCAAAATGTGGCAATTAAATTAAAATTGTGGTGCTAAATTTCCGAATTCATGTAACTCCTCTTAGTAATTATTACAGCTTTATAAATGTATACCAACATTTTCCTAAAAATGAAACAAGAAAACACTACGGAACACAGCAGCCAAACGTAGCAAACAAAACACATATACCTATGTACATATGTACGCACACAAAGATATAGGTTAATATAGAAAATTGCAACATGCACTCGCAAATGGTCTTAAACAAATAAAGCAATTGCAAACTCATATATCCACCCACACTTACACTTATACATACATGTTAGCTAAAATAAATGTAAAGCAGTTTTTAGTAGAACACTGCATACCAAACATAGATCACACAACACAGATTTTAGATAGCAACAAAGAGATATATTGTTCCTCAAAAAATTAACAGCAGTTATCGTAATCATAAATCTATAAACACATACATACATATAAAATATATCTATGAACAAAGAGATTCAATTTAAATTAAAACATTTGTGTTTTGTTTTGTGTCTTCCCCTTTCTACGTCAAAAATCAAAAAAAAAAACAAAAAAAAATCATACGCGCAATCTTCATCACTCGCATTGCATCTCCTTCTCGCTGTATGTATGTACTATGTATGTTTGTATGAATCTTGGCTTATCTCTCCACCAAAAACATTAAATAACGGGCTCCGTTTCTTTTGAAATCATTGAACTCTTTAATTACATTTATACATTTGAAACTATAATTGATTCAAAAAAACATTTTTTTTTTAATAAATATTCTTTTTTCATTAAACATTCTTGCCTTTCCACCAATAATTCGAGGTCAAAATTAAATATTAACAACCAACATTCTTCACATACCTACATGCAAAATTTGTCGAAAATGCTTAAAACGCAAAAAATTATTAAACTAAAACCAAAACACTACAAAACAAATCAAACCACAAAATGTTCACTCATAAAGAAATTGGAATATCTGAACCTTGTAAGTAGTGTGCTTCATATTAAAGACATTAAAGTGCATAACTGCCTGCATTCGCTTCATTTTTAAGTTGGCATGCTTGCACTGGATGCAGCTAGTTTTTTTTTTTATACATGATCAAATACATATATTATATCTGTGCAGTAATTATACATAATTTTTTATTTTGCATTTTATACATCTAAATATTTATGTACATACAGTCTTTTAGTAAATGAGCGATATATTTTTTTTATTTTAAGTATTGGTTTTTCTTAGATTAGTTTAAAAACCAACCAAAAACTAGTTGATCAAAAATTTAAAGACAGTTATAATTACAAGTATGTATATCAAATCCTTAAAACACACCGATATAAAAAATTGTGCTAAACTTGGTTAAAAAAAACTATACAGAACTGTTAATTTAAATCTTTGAATCAATAAATTTTTTAGAAAATTTCTTTTGGAGACAAACCGGTTTCGGCGTTGTGCTATCTTTAGTGTAATTTTTTGTCCCATACTAATTTGGTTTATTAACGGTCCTCCTAAGTATTATATGAGAATTGGAGTCGATTATGTTTTTTGCTTAAAAATTACTTTTTTTATTTTTTCGTTTTATGGTATTTCATGTAATAGTTTCAAGTTAATTAAATTTTTTAGCAGACTTCACAAAAAGGAGAAGGTTATCAATTCGTCGGGATATTTTTATTTATATGCTACCGCATAACTTTGGACCATGTTATCCAATTTCTATAATTCTTCCCATTTGGTTTACCATCTGTCTATGCTATAAGTTCACTCGAAACCGAACCTTGTATACCCGGCGCACGTCTTTATAAAATCTATCGTTTTTTGTTTTCTATTTTTTATTGTTTAAATAAACATTAACTAAATTTGATTTGTATGATTTACATAACATTCACAATTTCCTTTATGATTGCAATAAATGATGTTTACTTTTAAGCACTCAAAGGTATCAGTACGATTTTTTTCTAATTACTTAATTTTTTTCCTTTTGTAATCAATGCCTTTCGTACAGTCAACCTTCATTTCGCATCCATTTGATTAAAAGGCATCGTATATAAATATTAACACTTAATCTAATCCTAACACTTTATTTCAGTTTTTTTTTAAAGAGGATTAGCTGAAGATTTTTATTGTGTTGAAACAAAAATATGTATATACATACATATGTACATATATCTACACATTAAAACTGTTCAGCAAATCCTCGTTGGCTTTTCTCTATCATCTCTCTCTCACTGTGCTCTACTTTCGTTTTGTTTGCACACTTGTCCCATTTTCTCGATTGTAAAGCACTTAACTACATCATTACTTTCTCTCTTCCTTCCCTTCCTTTTTTTTGTACAGGCCACACCACATATGCCCACCAAGCGTCGTTCGGTTGCGCGTAAAGTGCGTCCCCAGTCCGTCGTTGAGAATTTGAGCTTGGGACATATACCCGATCTGCTTGAATCGCCCTCTTCCCATCGCTCCTCAACACAACTTTCAGCGCGTGATTCGAATGGTACAGGCGCTAGCATCGCAGGCACCACCATTGGCAGTGGCAATGCCATGGATGATTTGGGTGTCGATGAATGCGGCGACTCAATAACAGAACTGCCCAGTGCATCATTTCAACTTCAGCACTTGGTTAAAGGGCGACCGAAACGCGCAAAGACGCGCGCACCCACACGACCACTCGTTGCTGTTGATAACAGCGCCGGGCCGAGCACCAAAGAAATTGGCGAGGGTTTGGATTTATTCTTCCGTCCCGGTTCAGTAACGCCAACCACACTGACGCCACTCATTTCACCCACCTCTGAAGAGTGCAGCTCATTATCGTTTGTCGATAGTCCGACAATGAGTCGCGATGGCAACGGTCATTTGACATCCGAGGAGACCACACCTATCTTGGAGGAACGCAGGCCGATCAAGTTGGATCGTCAGTCACCATTACTGAAGGGTAAATGGAAAAACATAAAATTTCGTTAGTTGTCCTCGACACATACTCATATAAGTACATATGTATTTTTTAATAACTTCAGGCATACCCTGGACTACACGTTCACGTTCCACAGATAATTTGGAAAAGTATTCACCCTTGATTGGACGAAAATCGCCGTTAGTTAAAATGCGCACTGAAGGTGGCACCGCTGCGACGGGTGAGGACACGAATTCTGTGCTGAAAGCGCCGGAACGAGAGAATAAGATGCGTTCACCTAGCAGCGATTCGATTCGTAGTCACACAGGTGTCGACGGCATCAGCGTGAAGACAACAAATGGTATTATACGCACACCAATTATCCTACAGAAACCACGTCCCTGGTCAGTGGTGGGTAGTGAACCCAAAGCGCCTGGTGCTAATGACTTTCAAGGCAGTGATTCGAGCAAGACAACGCCAGAGAAACTAGACGAAGGTATATATCCATATATATATATGAAGTAAATATTTTATGTTTAAATAATTAAATTTCATTTTAATCACTCAATATTTTAGATGCCGAATCGTTATCGTTTAGTCAAAGCAGCAACAATGTTGGCAACGCGACAGGTAAGCTATGCTTTAATATCATAATTTTTTGTATCTGACAAGTATCGGATAATAATGTATATACAATATAAAAAACTCTTGATCAGGAGTGGCAGTCCTTTACCGTGTTTCAATCTGGTAGTATTCTTTTTATATAGACGTGACTGTTACCGATACGTACGAATAAGTTGTTATTATTTTCTGCCATATCATAAAAATTTACCCAAAGAGGTTTTGGGTAATATTGCTTTAGTTAGTAACAGTCCTTGATCAGATATAAATTTGGGTCGTTCCGGATATACGGTTTTCACATGAGGCGATTTTACAGGCAACTTTTAGTTGAAACCAACAATCGCCTGGCGTGAACGGCCTTTCAACTAATCGTTTCCAATGGAGTTGGGGTACGACCAACTTTTAATTCAACTAATCGCCTCTAAAATTGCATGGAAAATAGCTTCATGTGAACACCATTATACATAGATCCTATTGTCTTAAGAACGCGTAAGCATCAGTTGTCATTAGTAATGCCGCACGAAGTCGCTTTGTTGGACTGTATATGATTAACTTAGTGTGAGGGGGAGGACCAGGTTGTATGCATAGGCCATGCAGAGTCCCAAAGGCTGTAGCTCCGCGGCTTTTGCCTTGCGAAAAACTCCCGAAGAGTAGGGTGATGCATCAATCTAGGTGAGCATGATTTTGGGTGCCATCAACTTTTTACTTTGGTAAGTTTTTTATGTAACATTTGAGAAGTGTATATATTTATGCACATATTTTTATGAGGGTTTACCGAAAGTGCATCATGGATTTAGGCATTTGTTGTTTGAGATTCAATGAACGGTTGTTGTTAGTGCTGTTGTTGTTGTTGTAGCGGCTACAACAACTCCGCCGCGATCGGCTAGTCTCTCAGTCGTTGCCGTCAAGCTCATCTAACGGGAGATCCAAGAAGCGTGCAGCCTCTATAGGGTCTGTCCATAGGGACAGAGGCGTCAGTTGAGTGGGGGTTTTGTGCACATGCGAAGAGATGTTTCGAGTCGTTGGGTTTCTCTCCGCATGCCGGAGACTCATTTGGCACAGTGTGCTCAGATACGAGTTTACGGTATTAACCACCCCTTCACATACATGCCTACTCCAACCAACGCATATAACACCCCACTTTTTTTTCTTCCAAATCCGTCGAAAAATGACGTTTACTGGGCCTACGGTAAGGTGATCTTAAGCACCTAATAGACTCACTTATTTCATCTAGGCTTAGTAATGTGATACAGCAACCACAAAACAAATGGAAACATTTTCATAGGCAAATTCGTTATGTCCACCGGAGTGCAATTTTTTTAAACGATTTGTGCTTACTCATTTTATATGTACATACTATGCATACATACATATGTATGTAGTATATTGTATTAGTATTTCTTATTACACGTATTTTTAAAAATTTTAAATAAAATAATCTGCAACTTTGCCGTAGGAGCCGCATTGGAGAAAAAGTCTGTACGGGAGCTTGCAGCTGGCCTGAATCGCTTAGGTAAGCAAACTATCTTTATTTTCTAAAATATTAGTTTCATTATACCGCATCCTTAAATGATGAAATTGCATCCTTTGAATGTTTAGAAAACCAATTTATTGAAAGGAAACTTTTAAAATGTTAGGTGGATAAGTGAAATGTTTTTAATTTATTTACATTTGCACGAGTTTTTTATTTGTGGTACTTCTCTCACCACAAATATGTATACCTAAATTCTTTTGATTTATCTTTCCCGTTCTTTATTTTTTTCTTTTCGTTTTTACTTATGCCACATATCTGTTCCTTATTCCTTTATTTCATTTTATTGGCATGCAAATCGAAACAATATAGAACTCCCAATGAAACCACAAGCGCTACCGAGAACATTACTCACCAGCGCCTCAGCGATATCCAAATCAGCTTCCACTTCGCACATCACTAGCACGAACAGCAGTAGCATAAATAGCAACAATGTTTTATATAGCACCAGCAGCAGTAGCAACNCAATTATGCTGCCCCACGCTGAGGAGGAAATGCCATTAAACTGGATATACCAGCAGGACAATGATCCGAAGCATACCGCTAAATGTGTAAAAGAGTGGTTTGTTGCCAATAAAATTGAAGTGTTGCAGTGGCCTGCACAGTCACCCGATCTCAACCCAATTGAGAATCTATGGGAGATTGTAGATCGGAAAATAGAACGCGAAAACTGCAAAAACAAGGACTCTTTGTTTGTTCAGGTAGAACAAGCATGGGAAAGCATTTCCATAGATGTTTTAAATAACTTGATCGAGTCTATGCCACGAAGATGTGCCGCGGTATTGAAAAACAAGGGCTTCGCTACGAAATATTAGAAGAATCAACTTTTCTTTCCAATTATATACCAATGTGCTTTAGTTTTGTCGCAGCATATTTAAGACCACCTTTATGTTTGAATTAATATTTTAGTTTAGTATGAAGTTTTATTGTATTATTTTTTTGTGACATAACAACAACTGTACCCCCTTCTAAATACCATAAAAAGAATTGCTATTACCAAGTGTTTGTAAGTTTTATTTCTGGTTGTGGTGGTATGGGAAGTTTCGTGCTTTAGTTTTGTCGTACACTGTACATGTTAGCTAAAATAAATGTAAAGCAGTTTTTAGTAGAACACTGCATACCAAACATAGCTCACACAACACAGATTTTAGATAGCAACAAAGAGATATATTGTTCCTCAAAAAATTAACAGCAGTTATCATAATCATAAATCTATAAACACATACATACATATAAAATATATCTATGAACAAAGAGATTCAATTTAAATTAAAACATTTGTGTTTTGTTTTGTGTCTTCCCCTTTCTACGTCAAAAATCAAAAAAAAAAACAAAAAAAAATCATACGCGCAATCTTCATCACTCGCATTGCATCTCCTTCTCGCTGTATGTATGTACTATGTATGTTTGTATGAATCTTGGCTTATCTCTCCACCAAAAACATTAAATAACGGGCTCCGTTTCTTTTGAAATCATTGAACTCTTTAATTATAAAAATACAAACTCAATTTAATTATCACGTCTACAACTACATACATTTGAAACTATAATTGATTCAAAAAAACATTTTCTTTTTTAATAAATATTCTTTTATCATTAAACATTCTTGCCTTTCCACCAATAATTCGAGCTCAAAATTAAATATTAACAACCAACATTCTTCACATACCTACATGCAAAATTTGTTGAAAATGCCTAAAACGCAAAAAATTATTAAACTAAAACCAAAACACTACAAAACAAATCAAACCACAAAATGTTCACTCATAAAGAAATTGGAATATCTGAACCTTGTAAGTAGTGTGCTTCATATTAAAGACATTAAAGTGCATAACTGCCTGCATTCGCTTCATTTTTAAGTTGGCATGCTTGCACTGGATGCAGCTAGTTTTTTTTTTATACGTGATCAAATATATTATATCTGTGCAGTAATTATACATAATTTTTTATTTTGCATTT